TGGACAACGTAAGGCGACTCTCAAGCTGTATTCACTGCTATATTCTACCCCTGTCTCTAGAAATTGGAGCGACCAATGCGCACCTACCAGCCAAACTCAATGATCGATCCCCGTACAAACTCAATGGTGCAACTTTTCTACTCTATATACACGGCCATGAGACTGACATGTGATATGTCATTGAGAATGTGAACGAGGATGGCCCACAACCTCAAGCTGCTGGCACGACCAACTACAGGAATGATAGGCGCGCCGATCCCCGACCTTCAAGAGGACGTCAAGAGGACTGGTCCCAATCGCTCCCACATTATTATGTATGTGGAGGAACTTTCACTACTTCGTATAAGAAGCGAAATTGGGACTGGGGTCAAAGTCATGATCAAAGACAACATCAACGAGACACCAAACAACAAGAAGGGTGCTGTAGAGGTGGAGGAGGAGATTGCAATTGCGAATGTAACTGTTGACCAGAAATGGCATTACCTACTTATAGGTGATGCCCTCTACGAAATGGCGCGTCTATGGAATGAGTTGTCTCTTCTATCAAGGTACTCTTACTCTTCAAAGACGCCAATCAAGAACTGGTGAGTAGTTTGAGCAACTGGTTTAATTTGTGTATGGCTGAGTTTCCCAAAAGTAAAGATTGAGGAACACCGATTTTCATATAAAACAACTCCAGTTTTATAATAAGAATATTTTGCATATATTTTCAAGATATCTCCCTAGCCGATGGGATAGTAATGATGTGCTGCATCGAGTTTGTCGTTACCAGAAGGGGGAATGAAGGAGAACACACTCACACACCCCCGACACCCCCGAGCCAAATGAACCGCTCTGACAATGGATTGGAGGGATCATGGTCAAATCGAGGGCACTCCCTTTGGCTTTACGGACAAGGTAACATGTGGTAAGGTTCTTTCCGCTAGCCGCCTTCTCTAATTTTCCGTTCGCCGCTCAATGGATAACGTAAAGTGATCTTCACATTCTCGGCATATTTTGATCGTCTGTTCTAGAAATCGGAGCAACCAAAGAACACTTATGAGCCCAACTCAATGGTCGACCCCCGAACGGCCCCACCGGTAGACCCTCCTTCGCAAGTACACACAAAGCTTACATATACCTAGAATGATCACGAGAATGTGGAAGAAGAGGAGCAGCAACCTTTAGCTACTCGAAAATTGAAAAAGGCCAAGAAGAATAAGCGCGCCGATCGCCGAGACCGCTCAGAGTATCCCGACGGCAGAAACTGGTGTAAAGAGATCTGGGAATGGATGCCTGACTGTATCCGACCTTGTATTCGATGTTGGAAGGCCATCTTTGAATCGTGTAAAGACCGTAAGGAGCGACACCATCGAGGCGGGTGCTGTTGGTGCTATTATGGTGGGGATGGGGATGGGGATGGCTGCTGTGGTAGGGATGGTTGCTCCAATTTCTAGAGACAGGGGTAGAATATAGCAGTGAATACAGCTTGAGAGTCGCCTTACGTTGTCCATTGTGCAGCGGAAGGAATTTCACAGAAGGCAACTCGAGAAGAATACAAAAGAGAATCTCACCACATGTGACCTCGCGCATATAGCTAAGGAAGAGCCTTTATATTTGCTTTAGACGGTAATTACAATCTTTCCGATCGAAGCATTGTTCTCCATATCTTGGTGAGACTTTACAATCTCCGCCAAGGGGTAGACCTGGTGCGTTACGACCTGGATGCCCTTTCCTTCAACTTCTCCCTTATCGCTGTATGCATCGGAGCTGATATTGGGGAGAATTTCGGTGCCGAATCGTTGAACTAGTCCCATCTGGTATTGAGGACTTCGCGAACGCAACGTCGATCCAGTGACTTGGAGACGCTTGAACAATATTGGGCCTAGTGATGTCTTTTCCACGTCCAATCCTATCAGTCAAGGGTGAGTCTTTCCTATTATTCAGATGGATAGTTGGTCATACCGCTCAACAGGCCCAACATTACCATCCTGCCGTCCAGAGCAAGAGATCCAAGATTTTTATTCCAGTGACTCTGCCCGACAAAGTCGATGAGAACGTCAACTCCTTTGCCTTCTGTAACCTCCTTGATCTCC